TTTTTATTCATTATTAAGAGATGGCGAAACGTGTCGCCGTTGTTGACGTTCATAGTAATCCTCCTATCATCCATCATGATCAACCACCTTCCCGTAGCAAGCTCAAAACAATGGTGTGTATCAATGCAGACGGCGAAGGATGAGCAGCTAGAAGATAATATCGGTTTTGCGTGCGCTAATGGAGTTGATTGTAGACCAATCCTACCAAGTGGAGCATGTTTTAAGCCCAATACTACAATAAGCCATGCTTCATATTTGATGAATTCTTACTACGAACAACATGGTCGAACCAACAATTCATGCTTTTTCTTTTTCCCAAATAGTGCCATGCTCACTTCCACAGACCCTAGTTACAATCACTGTATCTATAAATAGGTGATCCGTGGAATACGACATGCTAGGAGCCTAGGATGAATAATTACGATATGTTTTTTTTTTTGTTTCTGCTATGTTTTGCCTATCTATAGTTAGTTACACAAACTTCAGATTTTCTTCGAATGTTTTTTTAATTGATAAAGTGTTCCTTTGGTGTGTTGTTCTAAGATATTGCAATAAAAACAAAGATTGATTCAACAATAAAAACAATCAAATCTCAGCAAAATTCATTCGCAGATGTTTCAAGAACAAGTTTTAGTATAAAGTAACTTATTGGACAAGAAAAGGCTAGAGCTTAATTCCTATCACGTCATGTATGAATTTCTCAATAGCCGAGTACGAAGATCCACCATTATACGTAGCTTTCCGCGCCATCTTCGAGATATCCATCACTCTCTTCCTCACAACATTATTATCCTTGCTCATTACACAACGAATAGCAGTCTCTATCTCGTTTGCATTTACTATTTCATCGCTATATACCCTGTAATCAAGCTTCAGCTCCACTGCGAGCTCTAGTTCCTTAACCATCAGAAACGCATTGAGCTGTTGCTCTGCATACATTGGCCATGTCACAATTGGCACACCAAACCATAAACTCTCTACTATTGAGTTCCATCCACAATGAGACACAAAACCTCCAACTGCTTTATGGGCCAGTATTTCCACCTGAGGAGACCAACCGCATATCATTCCCCGTCCACTGACACGGTCAAGGAATCCCTCGGGAAAAAGATCATCGTTCGTCATTTCTTCAGTACGAAGTGACCAGAGGAATCTGTACTGACAGAGCTCAAGTGCATGAGCTATTTCCTTCACTAGAGGACGTCTGAACCTGCCCATACTCCCAAAACAAAGGAATACAACCGATGCATCGGGCTGATCATCAAGCCATTTCATCAACTCGTCACGACGGGCCAGGTCCTGCTCTGGATGAGGCTGGGCCTTCAAGTCAAATACGGGGCCAACAGCATAAACAGAAGGGTAACTCCGTTCATCAAGAAAGTGATTGACAGAGTAAGGCTCAATATCAAAGGAAGAATTCACTAAGATTCCATTAGCCTTTGTAAACAATATAGCCAGTTTAATGTAAGCATCATAACCGTCTTCAACAAACAGAGCTGATGGCAGAACATTGGCTGGGACAGGGTTTACAAAGCCAGGAATCGACAACATTTCCTCGGAGTTTCTTACAAAAACCGATGTATCTTTACTATGTCGATCTGCTAGATACTTCATCATCGCTAAGAACCCGGAATTTGTAGTCAAGAACACATAGAAAGGAAGACTTATTACCTCTTTTGCAACGTCAATCATGGGGAGACAGAAAAAATCAGCAACAAATCCCTTGACCTTAACTCCATCCAATGCAAGAGAAGATAAAATATCCATGACTATATTTCTCACAAGAGGGATATTCTTCTCAATAACATCATATACATAAGCTTCCACAGACTGTGTACCACCAAGTGTAGGTTTCTCCTCTAACTCAGGGACATCAATGAATCTAACAAAGGGCTGAGAAGAGGCCATAGATTTAACATAAGTGTCTAGATGTGACTGACCTTGTAGCTTCATCAAGAGGATTGTGATACGGATCCTATCATCTTGCTCAATGAGACGCCTAACAAATTCAAGAAACGGGAACAGGATGACCAACGGTTGGTG